AGGAGATGCTCGGTTGTATTTTAAGATCCACAACAATCCAGGCGCACCTCACCTGCACCTTCGCTTATGAAGAATCTTTGTACGAGGGAAGCTACACAAAACCCCCCCCGTTTCCGACGGTTCCCGCAGAGCAGTTGGGTTGCTACTGCATGACCGAGAAGCGGCTGCGATAAAAGCGCGAGCAGCTGACAGCGAGCTGAGTCTGGAGCGTTGCTTCCCCCGTGTCTTTGGCATTAGCCAGCAGATGAACGTGGTGCCCTCACTTGAAGTGAAAAGAAGAACAGTAAGCTGGACTTGGAATGAGGACCTAGGGGCACTGATTCCCGCAGAGCAGTTGGGTTGCTACTGCATGACCGAGAAGCGGCTGCGATAAAAGCGCGAGCAGCTGACAGCGAGCTGAGTCTGCAGCGTTGCTTCCTCCGTGTCTTTGGCATTAGCCAGCAGATGAACGTGGTGCCCTCACTTGAAGTGAAAAGAAGAACAGTAAGCTGGACTTGGAATGAGGACCTAGGGGCACTGATGCTTTTTTGTACTTGTCCAGGTATAGACTAAGGCTGGAGCTGTGCTTGGTCACTGACACACAACAATCACATCAGCACAGTACATTTCCCCAGTGGCTACTTTCCACTCCTCTAAGCCCTTCACAACCAGCTGGTCTGATCAGGCAGAAACACATGGTACAGGGAGAACACAAGGACCGCTAAAGACTTCTCAGGCCTGTGCTCTGTCCCTGGGCTTTACTCCAAAACAATGACAAAAGCATTGAACATGTTCTGGACTTATTTATTTTGTTAAAAGGCTTGGCTGTTCAACTGCACGGAGAACAGCCCAGTACCAATTTCTCCAGTAATACATTGGGCAGACCAGAGACAGAACACAACACCTTACCAAGGCTCCTCTGTCAGCACAAATGGTTTCAGCATCGCCCTAGAGAGAGTGAAGGAAAGGTAGACACAACGGCCAGCCCTTGCCAGGATTTGGAGAGAAGTCTAGAACAAGCAAATGCACTGGTGTTTTTTCTTCATCATTATGGAAGAAGTCACCACACC